AATATCTAATAAATTAATTAATTAGTTGATTGATCTGTCAGAATATATACTAATTCATGAATCCGCTGTGTGGAAAGCATAATTGTATAAGGAAATAAATCATTTGAAGTAAAATTAATCTAAGCAATACTTTGGAAATTTATTCAAAATATTAAAGTAGAGACTTCCTTATATAGATCGATATCTGTAAAACAAAACGGTGAATGAAATCTGGACGAAATCGGATTTCCAGATTTTTGATTTTGCTTGTCGAAATTTGTAAAAAGAGGAATATCTAATTGATTGATTAGCTCATTGATCCGTCAGAATATATTCTAATTCATGAATCCGACTACGTGGAAAATAATACTGGATACCCAGAACGAGAAATCCGACAGTCGGATCTCGTCGGATCCTATCGGAAAAATTATCGAATTTTATCGAATCCGATGGCAATTCGTCGGAATCCTTGGTATCGGATTCCGACAGGAAGTTGTCGGATGTCGAAAAGTGTCGGAAGTGGCCGGGATCTTGTCGGAACTCGGAAAATCCGACACTTTCCAACATCCGACAACTTCCGACTAATTTCCATCGGATGCGATGGTGTAAGATTGGCCTAGGTATTCTGCATTCTTATATAATCCGACAAGTTCCGGTACCAGTGATTGATCGGTTTTATCATGGAATCCGGTATCACTTGAAACCGCAAAATCCGGCGATCTCTTGACATCAGATTCCCCGGAATCCCATCGGAAGCGAACAGATCTTGAGATCGGATCTGACCAGTTCCGAATAAATGAATCTAGTCGGAGCTCGATGAATCCGATCGGCGGATATCAAAGGAAAACAGTGGATAGCATCGGAATCCGACAAAAAGTAACCGACCGAATCCGATTAGCCGTATCTCAACGGATTTGAAACCTATCCGACAGAATCCGACATAGCTATTCCGACCTGGGCTGGAAAAACTAGACCTGTTTTTAAAGCATTTCTTTGTTCAACTATTGCAAAAGGTTTCAAAAGTTCAAGTTAAAAGGCATTGTCTTATATGGTTCGATGCGTTTTCATCTGCTCTTTTCAACGGTGAAAATCGTAGCTCTCTATCTTATTCCTATCAAAAGTTATTCAAAAAATACTCATCCGCCTTTTATTTTGAAACGGGCAGTACAATCTTTTCTTAATCAGCACTCATACTTTACACAACAGTCAAGAATATAATTGGATGTGGGTGGTGTATGGGACTGGGTATGGCCTTCTGTTAGTACCCACTAACACACACCCACATCTATTTCTAGATATATAGAGTTACAGTGTTTTGGGTTATTTTTCTTACCTCAAAAATAGGCAAAAAGAAAATCACTGTTATAGCAACCTCGAGCGAAACAGGAAAAATCAATTCGTCACAATAAGATTGACTAATCGAGTTTTCAGATTGAGCAATATGCGAAAAACTCAAATCAACTACGTAGTATTAAAAGAAAAAACGACTTGACCATAATATTCGATCGTTTTCTTTATTTCTTGTTGCCAAAATTTTCAAGCGATTAATTGACTCAGGGTTATTAGACAGCATGTTTGCAACTATGGCTCATGCTACCCTTCTTTCGCCTATCAATAAACCAATGA